AGACTTCTTTTGAACGCATATGCATACCTACAAGTAGCACATGCACACACTACAGAATCTGTTTAGCCCAGGTTATTCCATGTAAATTGACATGAATACTGAGAAGAGATAACTGGGGTACTGTGCTGTTTTTTCTTACAAGAGAGAAATAGGTTCATCCATGCCTAAATGGAAGGAAAGTCTGCAGACTCTCACCCTTACATGTGAAGAAGGAAGTCAGGACTAGGATTTTCCTCTCAGTCCCCCTCAGATAAGGGATAACACTGACTTTTCTCTGTCCCCAAAGTCCCTTGCTTTCATTATTTGCAACTCCTAACCATTCAACTCCCTTTCAACCATCCTGTTTTCAGGCTATTCTTTTGGAATAAAATTAACCTTATAAATACTGTCTGCATTTGTGATGTATTTATAGGAGGTCATGAAAGCACTTTTGTTCACAGATACTTGTTAGTCATTTTGACCCTAGCACCTTTTATCTTTCACATTGAGGGGGAGGGTGAAGAATGTCCAGCAAGTCCCTCGTGAAAGATAAAGAGATCTTCTTAAAGAAGAAAATGTGAAAAGCCACTAATTAGGTTATTTTTGTTTATGGATCATAGTCAATGGGTCTTGCATGAATCCTGTCACTCTTTACATTTGCTACATGTGCCCCATTCCTGCTGCAGCAATAGGTTTGCAGATATTGCCCCTATTGATTAGGGATATGCAGAAGTGAGAGAATGTTGTTTCTAGGATAATATATATAAAAAAAGGTTGATATAGATAGATAGTTAGATATAGATAGATAAATATAGATAGAGGTTTTCATATTAAATTCTTCTTTAAACTAGATTCTTTAGCCAAATTGATAAGTTAATGATTACTTTTTTAATAGCATGTTCAGATTCCAAGGTTTGCTCTCTTCAGTCTGCACATCCCATATTAACAGGGAAGCTTGGGGTGGGGTGTAATTCTCCAGATTTTCAGTTGTACTCCTGGACCTACGTGTTCTGTTTCATATTTTTTAATGAATGAAAATGAGATAGAATGATTAGCACTATTGTTATAATGAGGCAGTCATTATTGGTAATACTAAACTTGTGGGAAGTACTTGGTTATAATGGAAGCAGAAGTTTTATTGTATCCCTATAATAAAAATAGCTAGACATCTTTGGAAATTATTGGGAAAGAAATTTACATTTAATTTTTAAAAAGGAGACAACAAAGATGGAAGATCCATTTACCTAGCATGTGCTGTACTTGCAAATCAAAGGGTTATCACTGAACAGTGAGTCAGAACAGACACAATAGAGGAAACATGGGGAATGGGGGCAATAAATTTCTTGCCCATATAGTTTTCTGTTGATCAGAGGATGAGTGGATAGTGGGTACTTGCATAATAATGTTTATTCATTGAAATCTGTAACAGCAGGCATGTCAAACACACAGCCTGTAGGTCGGATGCAGCCCACGCAGGCCACACCCACTCCGGCCCCGCAAAGGCAAAAAACATCCGGATACATCCCAATATGGCCTGCGATGTGATCGGGCTTGACACCCCTGTGTAACAGCATACAACTGCTGCATGGATTTCAATATTGCATTGCTCAGCAAGCCACTTTCTCTACCCAATTGTATTACCCCAGGGGATTTTACTCGATGCAAAATGCAGGTATCCTCAAGCAAAACAAATGGTGAGTGATGCTCCCTGATCCCAAAGACTGGTCAATGTCTGAAAATAATTTGTCTTCCCCTCCCAGGACCTATAGCAGTTAATAATAACTGAGGAATTCATGCAATGAATGGTAATATTGAGATACCCATGTTTGCCATAACCATATCTGGAAGGAGATTATATGCATTTATGATTATTTCCCATTTAAACAAAAAAATGTTTGGACAAGGTGCAAACTATGTAAAAATGGATGATCAGGTCAGATCACTTTCCCCACTTTTTAGTCTGGATAAAATAGATTTTCCCCTAAATTAAAAAAGATTGCTTAGTCTTAGAAGGTTTCTGAAAGATATAGAAAAAATGGTTAAGAAAAAGAAGGAATGAGCAGTTTCTGGACTTTGTGCTTGAGGTGGAAAAAATGATACCAGTACTTAGATTTTGTGGTTAGACTGATTTGTTGATATAGAAATGGCTAGTTCATACTACTACAGAAATGTAAAAAGTTTAGGTTCAGTGTTAATGCCTTATTTTACTGCAACAGAGGGAGTCAGAAGTCAACGCATTTTTTTTCTTGCCTGCCCCTTCACACTTTACTTTTTCCCTTTCCCCTACCTATGTTCCTTATTTGCTTTTGTATTTTCGTATTTTATGTTATAAGTGAATAAAATTAAAATTAAAGTTGGACAAGAAAAAGAAGGAATGAGGATTAACATGCACTGTAAAATTTCTCATAATTGGCCAAAGTATAATTTCTGTTTTTTTAAACAAGTATAATAGTGAATAAAAAAATTATCACTTAGGATATATTTCAGGGAGAACGTTCCAGTATTTCTGAGTACAGACCTATCAGAACGAACCCTTTTACAAGGTCAATAACACCAGGGTGAGTGATTCTTGCTAAATTGCACTCCTGTCATTAAAAGAGTTAACTTCCTTTTACAACTCTATGAGGACAGCTGTGGGGTGCTCAGGTGGGTAATCTGAACTAAGAAAGCGGTATATAAACCGGAGCTTTCCATTCCTGGACCAAGTCAGAATCCTCCTCATCAAGANAGAAAAGGTGGCGGAACTCAAACCTGGCCACGCCCTCATCAAACCCTAGGACCGCCCCTTTAGAGAACAGGAATGCAAGTAAAATTTGGGAGGGGCTATTTCCGGTGTGGGAGGGGCTATTTCCGGTGCGGCCGGCCCGGAAAAAGGTGCCGGAACGCGGTTCCGCCGCGTTCCGGCTGAAAAAAAGCCCTGGGTTTGCAGATATTGCCCCTATTGATTGGGGATGCAGAAGTGAGAGAATGTTGTTTCTAGGATAATATATAAAAAGGTTGATATAGATAGATAGTTAGATATAGATAGATAGATAAATAGATATAGATAGATGTTTCCATATTAAATTCCTCTTTAAACTAGGTTCTTTAGCCAAATTGATAAGTTAATGATTACTTTTTTAATAGCATGTTCAGATTCCAAGGTTTGCTCTCTTCAGTCTGCACATCCCATATTAACAGGGAAGCTTGGGGTGGGGTGGGGTGTAATTCTCCAGATTTTCAGTTGTAATCCTGGACCTATGTGTTCTGTTTCATATTTTTTAATGAATGAAAACGAGATAGAATAATTAGCACTATTGTTATAACGAGGCAGTCATTATTTGTAATACTAAACTTGTGGGAAGTACTTGGTTATAATGGAAGCAGAAGTTTTATTGTATCCCTATAATAAAAATAACTAGGCATCTTTGGAAATTATTGGGAAAGAAATTTACATTTAATTTTTAAAAAGGAGACAACAAAGATGGAAGATCCATTTACCTAGCATGTGCTGTACTTGCAAATCAAAGGGTTATCACTGAGCAGTGAGTCAGAACAGACACAATAGAGGAAACATGGGGAATGGGGGCAATAAATTTTTTGCCCATATAGTTTTCTGTTGATCAGAGGATGAGTGGATAGTGGGTACTTGCATAATAATTTTTATTCATTGAAATCTGTAACAGCAGGCATGTCAAACACACAGCCTGTAGGCCGGATGCAGCCCACGCAGGCCACACCCACTCCGGCCCCGCAAAGGCAAAAAACATCCCGATACATCCCAATATGGCCTGCGATGTGATCAGGCTTGACACCCCTGTGTAACAGCATACAACTGCTGCATGGATTTCAATATTGCATTGCTGAGCAAGCCACTTTCTCTACCCAATTGGATTACCCCAGGGGATTTTACTCGATGCAAAATACAGGTATCCTCAAGCAAAATGGTGAGTGATGCTCCCTGATCCCAAAGACTGGTCAATGTCTGAAAATAATTTGTCTTCCCCTCCCAGGACCTATAGCAGTTAATAATAACTGAGGAATTCATGCAATGAATGGTAATATTGAGATACCCATGTTTGCCATAACCATACCTGGAAGGAGATTATATGCATTTATGATTATTTCCCATTTAAACAAAAAAAATATGTTTGGACAAGGTGCAAACTATGTAAAAATGGATGATCAGATCAGAGCACTTTCCCCACAAACAAAGACTACATGTTCCAGAACATTTTTAGTCTGGATAAAATAGATTTTCCCCTAAGTTAAAAAAGATTGCTTAGTCTTAGAAGGTTTCTGAAAGATACAGAAAAATGGTTAAGAAAAAGAAGGGATGGGCAGTTTCTGGACTTTGTGTTTGAGGTGGAAAAAATGATACTTAGATTTTGTGGTTAGACTGATTTGTTGATATAGAAATGGCTAGTTCATACTACTACAGAAATGTAAAAAGTTGAGGTTCAATGTTAATGCCTTATTTTACTGCAACAGAGGGAGTCAGAAGTCAATGCATTTTTTTTCTTGCCTGCCCCTTCGCACTTCACTTTTTCCCTTTCCCCTACCTATGTTCCTTATTTGCTTTTGTATTTTCGTATTTTATGTTATAAGTGAATAAAATTAAAATTACAGTTGGACAAGAAAAAGAAGGAATGAGGATTAACACGCACTGTAAAATTTCTCTCATAATTGGCCAAAGTATAATTTCTGTTTTTTTAAACAAGCATGATAGTGAATTAAAAAATTATCACTTAGGATATATTTCAGGGAGAACGTTCCAGTATTTCTGAGTACAGACCTATCAGAATGAACCCTTTTACAAGGTCAATAACACCAGGGTGAGTGATTCTTGCTAAATTGCACTCCTGTCATTAAAAGAGTTAACTTCCTTTTACAACTCTATGAGGACAGCTGTGGGGTGCTCAGGTGGGTAATCTGAACTAAGAAAGCGGTATATAAACCGGAGCTTTCCATTCCTGGACCAAGTCAGAATCCTCCTCATCAAGACTTCCTCTGTCAAGTTTTTCACTGCCATCCCACAGAAGATGAGTTTCACTGGAAAATATGAAATGGAAAATGAAGAAAACTATGACAACTTTATGAAGCGCCTAGGTGCGTATGTATATATTTTCTTTTTCATAAATTAGATGTTTCTTTGGCTAGATACAGAGAGTTCTTCCTCTGCGCATTTCAAGAGAAAAGCATTATCTTCACATTAACTTTATCTAGGGTCTTCTAGTAAAATAACGTGCAAACTTTTAGAATTTTAATGGTATGGTTTTTGGGGGGTAGTGGTGGATGAGGACAAAATATACATCAGTACTGTAGAATCCCACAGTATCTGTAGGATTTTTTTCTGACAGCTTTTTTTGTAATACAAATTTTTGTAATTCAAAAACTTGTACCATCTTCTTTCTCAGATAAATTACGGTAGACCAAGTTATGAGCAAGCTTTCATCAGCAGACAGGAAAGACTGCAGATATGTATTGTGGCTACTGATTGGACAGTTCCTTTTTTATACATTTATAATCATGAAATATAACAAGTTGGCTCTACCAAAAGCAATACTTTTAGGGACAAACTTCCCATATAGGAAATGTGACATTTCATTACTATCTATAAATATGAATTCAAGATAAATGTAAATTCAGAATTAAAAAAACCCCTAACTTTCTAGGGAAAAAAGAAAGCAATTAAACAAAAGCACTTTTATGGACCCTGATAAACAATGAACAGGTACAGTGTCGATTAACAACTGATTCTTATTCCCTTTCTCTTAGGTCTTCCTCATGATACAATTGAGAAAGGAAGAAATTTCAAGATCGTTACTGAAATAGTACAGAATAATGATGAATTCACTTGGTCCCAGATTTATCCAGGAGGGCATATCTTGACTAATAAGTTTGTTATTGGCACGGAATCAGAAATGGAGACAGTAGGAGACAAAAAATTCAAGGTAAGCAAATGGTTGGCACCATGACCTCTATTTTGCAGGTTTGGACAACCCTGTTCCCTGACGTTCCCGGTCCTGATCTTAAGTGTTTATGAACTTTGAAACATGAGCAACAATTGTTAGGGTTCCAAATTTGGTATCATGTACATCTGAATTTTCTTTTTTACCCCTCTACCCATTCTAATTACTTCAGACTCTACTGACAGAAGACTATTTCTCTTGGCCATGATAAAAATGCTATCCGTACATCCTTCAGACAGCAGAAAAATATATCAGCACAACATTGGCAGCTCTCACTGCCAATCCATATTTTATCATAGATACCATGCCAGGAAATGGGGCAGCCTGTACAGGTATACGGTACTCTACGAATAGGGATTAGTGAATTTGGTTGTCCAAAGCCAAGTGACCCTGGAAAACCAGTACCCATGCATTGGAGGGATAGCTTCAGTATATAGATTAACTCTTGAGGGTAGGCTTGGATAAATATAACAAACAGATAATAAATATGTCATTAATTTAAAAATCCAGCCCTTCTTAAATCTCCTTAGTTTCAGCAAATGAGAGTAACAAACAAGGTTGACTCTCTCCCTAAAATCAATGGAAAAACTTCTTGAGGGTCACACCATGCTTTAAATTTTATTTAGTATACGCAGCTAATATAATCCCCCCTCCTTTTAAGCTAGCAGAAGCAACCTTCTACTACTCATCTCTGCTAACGTATTAAATGGTACGTTAGGATTGTATTTTTGTTTTTGGTACATGAACATGGTTGCTAAAATAAGATCCAGCAACTGCCTGAACAAGCGCTAAGTGCTTACTAGGTTATTTCTAGCTACTGTTTAGAGTTGTTATCAGGTATATTTTGTGATCAAAGCTATTTTCAGTCCCAGGGAAAATTCATCCTGCCCAAGAAGTCTTCCATCTAAATGCTATTGAATGAACTTCAGTCAACATGACAACTAACACATGCCAATCTGTTTCAGGCAATAGTTAGAAAGGAAAATGGCAAAGTGATTGCTGACTTCCCAAACTACCATTATACTGCAGAAGTCGCTGGGGATAAACTTATTGAGGTAAATCTTGGAAAATAACTCTTTGAGGTTGGAATGTGTGATGTCAAAAAGACTGGACAGAAATATATTAACATGAAAACTAACTCAATATTAATGTCACTGGAAGGAGCAATAATAACACTGCTATTCAGCACTGCTGATTCCAAGATAAAAAACCCCTCCATTTTGCAGGGAAGTGAGCACCTCTCTTCAACTCCTGAAAGCAGCTGCATCTTTACCAGAAAATTCTGGCTGCCCTCTCCACATACCCCTTCCAGGAAAAGACTCTTTTGGATTAGAGTTAAACCCTGGTACTTTGTTCTTAATACTGAAGGACCTTTTTGAGTTTAAATCTGGAGTATTGCACAACTCTAGACAATTGGCTCAATATATTTGCAGTGAGGTTGTGGTCACTCAGCAGTTAAGGATGTTGAGCTTGTCAGTTGGAAAGCTGACAGCCCCGGTTCAAGACCTGATGTCACACATCCGGGTGAGCTCTCGATATGTGCCCCAGTTCCTGCCCACCTAGCAGTTTGAAAGGATACAAATGTGAGTAGATAAATAGGTATCACTTTGGTAGGAAGGTAACAGCATTTTATGAGCCTCAGTGTATAGTCATGCTGGCCACATGACCCCAGAAATGTCTTCAGATAATGTTTCTCCTTTGGCTTAGAAATGGAAATAAGCACCACCCCCTAGAGTGGACACGTCTGGACAAGGGAAACCATTACCTTTCTTTATAGTTGCAGTAAATTGATCAGTAAATCAAAGAACAAGGGGTGAGTGAGGAGGGCTAAAGTTCATGCTTTGTAGGCAGATTTTTTTTAACTTGTATAGCCTCCTTCCATATACCTAGTGTAGTCAAAGTAGTCTATCACTTGCTGAAAATAAAAATGTGAAAATGCAACATATAAATAAATAAAATGTAATTTTTTTAAAAAAAGATGTTTGCTATGTGCAGGGATAAAAACAGCTGATTTACCCAGAGTTTCTTAAGTTTTCTTAAAACCCTTTATCAAGTCTTGGCCTGGATTTCCACAAATCCCCCTTTTTATAACCAGAGGTTCTAGGAAATAAGGATACCCGTATGAATTAAGGTGCAACGATGGAGAGTTTTGAAACTGGCTGTTCTAAAACAACTTGAGGATGAATTTAATTTATCTGCTCCTCCATATAGAGCTAGTGCAGAATTTCTAGATCATTAAGAGCTGCAGAAGAAGGAAGCCTTCAGCTGTACATGTCAGAATGAAAAGATGCTACTAGATATAGATTTATTCATTTATGAAAATGTATGTGGCCGCCCTGCTCACTCTCAGTGACTCAGGATGACTTGCATATATGCAGTAGACATACAAATGTTTTTTAAAATTTATTTAATAAATTCATTAATTCTTTAAGGTTTCTACAGTTGGTGATATAACCTTCAAGAGAATCAGTAAGAAGCTGTCATAAGAAGTTTCTTGGAGAAGAAATAATCCAGTCCTTAGCCATATTGGAAAATGAGCCAAGTTATATAAAGTGATAAATCTTTTCTAAGTCTGTATTTGCTTTGCAAACAAATAAAAGACATATTTTACTTCCTATGCGTAACTGCTCTATTGGTTTTTCCCTTCCCTCTATATATCATATTGGTGGAATCTTGAATTATTATTGAAGTATTCCTAATAAAGATGAGCAAGATTTCAGGCTTTGCTATGTGGAACTTCCCATAATACATATGATAAAGAGTGAATGAACATTTTTCGCCATCATATTGTGGCCGGCTTCCACACTATGGCAAAATCAAGCAAATTACATTTTGACTTAGTGCATTCTGTGTTTCCAGCCACAATAGTTCATCAAACATATTTTGGAGTATAATGTGTGATGTGTGAAGGGTGGCTTTTATAAACCTTCTAATATAAATGGTTATAAACAAACAAGCACAAACAATTATTTATAGCAACGTGAGCCTGGTCTCTCTCTATAAAGCTGAAGAACAATGATTTGTGTTCATTTTAAAAAAGGGGTTACTGTACATGCAGTGTTTCAATCTATATAAATAAAAATGTAAATGTTCGTTTGTTCAAAATCTTAAATCTCCGAAAGTTCTTCACCGATTGCTTTGAAATTTTGACACAACGTTGCATTCGAATACGCACATGTTTTTATATACCGGTACCTACTATTATATAGATGTCACACCTGTGACAGGTAAAAACATGCTTTTTTGAAAAACCGCGCCATCTGTTGGACGTAAAAGCAACACACACTACGATTTTACGATTTCATTTCAATGTTTCCGATTTATGATCCATTTACGATTTCCAAATTTCCAATTCTTTCTTTTCCATTTAACCAGACTGAGCCACAGCAGCCCGTGGCCGGGTACAGCTAGTTAATCATATAACTTGAAAGAAAGCCTTCAATATTACTAACTAGAGGACATTGACATAATCACCATAGCTACTATTACAAATCTTACCTTTTTAAAACTGTATTTCATTTGTCATATCTCAGTGCTAGCTTGCACTATTCCAATTACAAAATAGTGTCTCAGTTGTTTCATGTGTTCCAGCTAGCTTGAGGTCTCACAATGTTTGTTGACTGTGATAGAAGCCAGCTTTGCATGCCAATACAGACAATACAGACAAACAACAGTGAACATGGTGAAATATTTTCCCCTTCATAATGAATATGGTCATTGGTGACTATTTGAGAAGTGAATATGGTGATGAGAAGCTGTGATCCTAGGAATCAGCTAGTCTCTACAGTTTCTTTTTTCATCTCACCATATTATAAACAGGTGATTTTTTTTATTTGTCTTTTGTATTCCCATTTTAGTAATCTCAATTTTCTTGACTTCCATGCATTCAGACTCTGCATAACAGGCAAAGGTTTTCAAAATGTCATCATCTAAACGTTTATCCATTGAAACCTGTATTCTTCTAAGATATTAGTTATCAATATTTTAGTCTATGTTCAAAATAACTTTTTAAGATTAGAAAAAGTTATTGCTGGCTTAGCCATTTTAACTCTTTTCTCTCTGGTCCTTTAGTTTTCTCTGGTGTCCATTTGTAACCTTCATCAAACCTCAGTTCTGTGTCAGTGGTTCTGTGTCAGTGGTTTCCCATGATTGTATTATTTAATTATATACTTGCTTTTCAAATCTTACAACAAAAATAATCAATATGTCAAAACTCTTAATCGGTTTAAAACAAATCAAAATTCTTTTTTCCTTTTGCCAATTGTATATTGTTTTAAATTCTTAAGTGTTCAACATTTTGTAAATCCAAAAAAGAAGGTAAAACATGTCAGATGTCACGTTAAGCTTGCTGTTTTGATGGCCTCTAATATCCATAAAGTGCTTAAATTAAACATTTCCAAATGTGATTAAAAATGAGTTTGGCTGGCTTAGTATTATTATGAAAGGCTCTGCAGCTGTTGAGAGCTAAGCTGTCATATTCCTTGGCTCCTCATAGCTGTCCTTCAGAGCACCTGTGGGTTATCTCCCCTCTTCCCTTCTCTGGAGAAATACAAAGGACCAGTCCACTCACTGATCCTTCATTCTTCACAGCGATTGTTGTCTCCACTTGTTCATGGTGACGTCTTCAGTCTGTTATGATTCACACTGGAAGCCAAATATGATTTGACTTCTTGAAATGCAAAATACATACCGCAGAGCACAAATGATTAGCATCCTCTTACTCAGAGGAATCAGCCAGTGATTTTCTGCTGTCCTTTTGCATTTTCAGAAGACAAGCCAAGGCAAAAATCAAACACCGCCCTCTCTGTGACAGGAAAGCCATGTGTTGAAGCTCAGTCTTACACTGTGTCACTTAGCAACCAAGCCTGGGCATGTGTTCCAACTAGTAGCTCAAAATGTGCAAATCCTTTAAACTCCTGCTTTCCTATGTAGATGCTGCCACATTTCAATTTGAAATTAAGGCTTTTCACTGTCATTCCACAAGGTTGCATGGAAAGATTTGCTCTATTGCACCTTTACACAGCTACCAGTTTCTCTCCCCCCCTCCCCCACCAAACCCCACTTATCCTCCCTTGGAGCAGGCACTCCAACTCAGACAAGAAGTAAGTACTTTGTCTATTTCTCAATGTCTAGAGTCTAGACAGTGCACCAAAAAGGAAGCTTCCCAGCTAGCACATACACCCTCCCAATCAACTATAACAAAAACAAACAAACAAAAAAATCCCACCACCAAGCTGCAGAAGAACAGTACCAAGTCTAATTCCACACTCTGAATACAGGACAATTCACTTTGTTTTCAGCTTGGAATACACTTATGCTAATATCTTCTGTGGCTGCTTAGAGCAAATCAAATCTGAAGCTATATTTAATTTCCTTCTATATTTGTTTCTTGGCATTGACAAGCAGTTGAGACTAAAAATATTATTTAAATACTTTCAGTGATAGGGGAGGAGGATGGTCGATTCACATAGTGAGCAGTCATAATTTTAATGCAAAGAAAATGTTTACCTTCCATTGTAGAAAAAAAATCACCAACAGCATTCAAGAAATGTGAAAAAGAAAGAAATTTTTGCCTGATTAAATGTTTTGAACATTAACTGTGGGCCTAAGTATATTTGTGTGGGTTCATCAGAGAAAACTGAATTTCAGCACAAAAGGATCCGACATGATCACAATTCAAGTGATACATTAGTTTAAGTATGTGTCCGATTCCTCTTGAGAAATTCCATTTTTCTATATTTGAATACATGAAAGCAGAATTTGTAAATATGGTATCAGTTATTTTGATCTGTATACAGTATGTTTCACACAGGTCAGAACACGTGAGGCATCTGTTTAATTCCCCCTGATTAGGAAAGTGCTAGCCAAAAAGCTAAACTTTTCATGACTAAAAAAATTGCTCAGTCCCTACTAGAGGTTGATGAAAGTTCAGAGTGCTTTGTCAGATGTCCTTACTGTAACTCACACTTATCATAGGTAAATAGAATTAATATTAAAATAAAATAAATTCTGGCCCTATCAGCTTCCAAGTATTACTAAGTTTAGTAAGTTAGAAGAATCCAGTTTGCTCACCAGTGCACTGGTTTATTGTGATGTGTAAATCCAGTCACATTCTTTTTCTAGTAGAAACGTATATATAACCCTGAGCTTTTTTCAGATATGAAATACTATTGTTAGTTCAGAGTTTTATATTGAATTAGCTCCTTGACCGATTACCACATTGCCTTCAATCTAAACTCAAGATGTAAGTATGTAGAGACTTCAGCATTTATCTGGTCAGGACCCAAGTATTATTTTTTTGGGGGGGGGGGCAGAGTACAAATTGGTGATTTGCCTTCCTCCCTGCCCTGGTGTTAAATGTAATTATGCTACATCACAGCCAGGGACAATTCATCTGTTTATCTGGTCCGTAACTCATTATGGGGTGTCACATCAATCTAGGGAAAAGTGGCAAGGCAAACAATCCAAGCGCTTGAATCAGGGTCCCTTGTGTGCTTTCCTGCTGTTGATATTGTATTTTGAATATGCTATCCTCTGGCAGTAGAATGCTTTATGCTCTATGTTTTTTTCATGTATTGAGATTGTAATGTAACTTCTTCACATTTTCTCCATATTTTCATTTAGGTTTTTTTGCTTAACATAAAGCATTGCTTAAATTTCCCCTCAGGAAATAACTATTATGGAAAAAAGAAAGAACATAACTGGTTGGGTTCCAAATAAAGTAATCTCTTGGCAACTCTTCTTTCTAGGATGCTCAGTGCTTGAGATGAAATTCAGGACATTTATTCCTGCCATCTTCTGGAATTACCTTTTCTAGCTCCTGTGTTTCTTCAAATCCCATGAACCAAATGCTATAGAACAATTCTTCGTTGGATAAAATGTTATCAGATGGTTGTCCTTTTGCCTTCTTACATTTCTGGCTGCCACAGTTGAATTTACAGCTAGACCTTGGGAAAAGGAAAGCTCTATGTAATTTGCTGTGCACTGCCTCTCAGTCTTTGTCCCTCATCCATCTCCATAAGTACAAGGAATTATCAGAGTTTTAATTCTTGAAAAATAACATGCCAAATAAGGAAAAATAAAATTCCTCTCAAGTGATATGTCCTAGAATGAAGTACACAGACACTGTATAAGTGGAATGTAATTCCTTATTTGCATAATTGAGAACTCCTTTCAGGAAACTAAATTGGAAAGCAACTCAATTCTTTTCAATTACAAGTGACTTGTGAAGTCTTGAAGTCTGTTTGCAAAGTAGAGTTAATCAGGTGCTAAAAAGGTCACGAAGTGGCTCTTCTAGGATACAGTATGTTGCATGGTATGTACCTTTGCAATGGCAATCTTGCGCATATTCAACAGCATCAAAAGAAAACCTGCTTCACCAATAAATTAGTAGGTCCAGAGACCTTCTCTATTGTGTCCTATGCTTCCTAGAGCAGCATTGCCCAGAGATCCATGTCTCCACCCTTTGAAAACTTGACTGTTCTCAGACCTAGTAAGGTAGTTGTTCAGTCTTTCATTTTATATTTGGCATGTTGTGTGTGTCTTCCTGAAGTGAATGGTCTTATTATTTATTACTTTTTGCAGGGTAAATCACTAGAGTCATTGGGTAGCCTCTAAATTTAATACATTAATTGAATGTTTGTCTCTTACTACTATGAAGCTCTGTAACGGGTATGGAAAGAACTGGGGGCATTTGATTAAAGAGTATAGTAGGGCCTATGAAGATGAGCACCCAAAAGTAGACAAGCCCATTGATGTTTTGTCCTTTTTATTCAATAAACTTTCTTAAGATAGAAACAAAAAAATTCAATACACAAAAACACCTTCTTTATAGGACGTCATGAAATAGTCAGGCCGAATTCTATAAGCTTGAGCTTCTCCAGTGGTTTTTACACAATTGGCTACTGTCTGCTTAAATGCTATAGTTAAAAAGTTGTGTATAAATGCATAAAAGGTAAAGCCCAGATACTATTTTTGACAAAGATGTTTCATTAACATATCTAACAAGAAAAAAAAATCCATACGAAAACATTTCCCATTTTGTCTTGCTACATATATTGTCATCAAAAGTGGGAAAAGCAGAACTGATCACCAGACTTTTCAATGAAAAGGAAACATTCTTCTCCTACATTAAAAGCAGCACTCCCTTCTTCAGTTAAAAATTCTTCACTTTCTCTCTGAAAATTATAACTTAAAGCAAAATGAACAAATAACATTTTTACCACTGCACTCCCCACAACACAAACTCTAGATATTTGATAGAATAAAAGCATATTGCACATAGTGTTATCGCAATCCTGAGAAACATTCCGTAAAAATACTGTCATTCAGTGACAAGAGCTCCACATCAAGTGGCAACTTCACACAGTAGTAGATGCCCTTCAACATATTTTGAAATTGGAGCCACACAAGTCTAGTACAAAAAAATCATACAAAATAGTTTAAGGCCATGATCCTGAAGTACGTTTATATAGAAATATTGGAGCAATGGGGCAAGGCAAAACCTGGCAAAGTGTTGTCAAATTTATATTTTCAGAAGAGAATCAGTGTTGGAAGCATGGTACTGTAGCCTACCCATTTCCATCAATTATTCTCTGCAAATGTTATCCCCTGCCCTCTTTTCAAAACTTACAGTACTTCCTAATTCTGGAGTTCAGCTAGAAAGAACCAAGTCAAGGTGCTAGAGAAACATTTGCAGAAAGAGATTAGCTTTATCACTGTGGTTCATTCCTTGCTTTAAATGCTAATATTCAAAGTGAATTGTTATTTACTTTGTCATGCTGATTTACATATTGTCTTGAAAATAGCTTGCATTGCAACCTATCAACCTATCTACAAGTCTTTTATAGATTATTCCAGTTAGTATCTTTTTAGGAATGCAGGTTTTCAGTTGTTTTATCACCTTCTATTAACCTTACATTCTTTATTCTTGAACCTTTTAAGAGTTCCTTTTCCTCTTTTTAAGAGTCCTTCTATGTATATTTTTGCCTAATATTCTAAGTCATATTGCAAATTCCTAACATCCTATAATAAAAGGCAGCAGTTCCCTCAAAAATTAAGGGATTTAACTATTTTTCTTTACATCGCTTCAAGTAAACATTAATCCCTGATATAACATGTAAACCATATTTTCTCAACAAATGACTGTTTGTGACATAAGGCAGCAGCATCTCAAATATCTAGAGGTACTTTTAAAAGGCAATTAAAAAATTCTACACGTATGAAACTCAAATGGTGCTTAGCCTACTAAATGTATTCAAAGAGTTCAAAGGAATTCTCTCCTTATTTTCATGCTTAATATATTGTTTTGCAATTCTTCCAATAGCAACAAGGAAGATTCTTCATAAAGTATTCTACCACAGAAAGAGAGAGAGAGCGATCGATCAAGGTGAGTGCAAGAAACACTGGCCTTTTTAATCACCAACAGAATGTTCCAGGGCTAAAAACTGCAATCATCCGCCATGTGTCACAGGAAAGTTACCTTACAGCAAAGGTTTGTCATATGGCAGAAGCTTTTCCGGGTCTTCCTCCCTAAAAATGAAGCCTGGCAAATCTGGGACCGGCGAGGTATATTTTTTTGCACTTTTCTCTTAAAAGTCTTGCCTCCTTATGTACTGTGAAATCAAAATTCATTTGTGAGTTGGATCTGCTTACTATCCAGCCATTTCTTTATTGAGATCCTGCTGACAGTGACAAGGGCATTCTGGCTTATGTGCTCCAACTCTTTATGTTTTTTTTCTGGCAAAACAGCTTGCCTCTCTCTGGCTCCCTTTTTCCATAAGCGCTCAGCCATCGAAACAGCCTGCTGTGTATGAGTGATGCCTGCTGAAGTAACTGCTGCCGTAGACCAATGAGAGGCAATGCCTGGATTCTGTCGAAATGGCTACCTGCATCGTGATTGGCCCTTGGATAGACACGGTCTGCAAATTCTCCTGCAGGGCAGAATAAGTACTCAGCCTACTGTTCCCTGAACTGAGGCCACTAGATCGAGGAGCTTGCAAGGAATCCCGATAAGCGGAGCACAGATCCTGTATTGGAGAACAGAACTGCGACAGGACAGCTGAGGGTTGGGGCAGGGGATGGTACTGTGGCTGATGGAAGAGAACCTGAGTTGGCGTCTGGAGTGTTAGGCTTTCCATTATTTGTTGCTGCTGTCGTTGTTGCAACAGGGCCATGCAATCCTTTTTCTGTGTGTTTTCTCTGGGATCCTTACTATGAACTTTGCTAGGAGAAAATAAATCAAAAACACAATCAAACCACGTTTTGAAAAGAAATGTGAAATAAATTAACATATGCTGTGCTAAGAAACAAGTATCAACTAGCACTGATGATGTTACCTAGTTTGGGTAATCAAACATCTGCAAGAAAATAACTAAGCTCAGAGAGCACCAAGGATTCTTCATTTCAAATCTGAGCTGCAGATATTCTCCTTTATTGGCAAGTATCATTTATCAGATGTAACTCAGTGGCAATATTTATAGCTACAACATTTGTTAACAACATTGGACAAAACCATTTCCAGCTTCTCAGATACCCAATATAATACAACTGGTTAAATCTTTTAAAACCTATTAATTTCTATATATACAGTATTTGTTATCAATAAATCCATTTTAGATACAGGTAAGAGATTAATAAACTACAGAATTAGAAATTCCTATATAACCTAAGACAATGGGAGAGTGTCTTAACTTCTATACCTAGTGTGTGAACCTTAAACTATGACTTATTATAACAAAAAATAATTGGACTCCATTATATTTGTATTGAAAACTGTCTAGGAGAGCACTATATTTTTTCCATTGCCCTGTACTTACTATGTTTTGTGAGAAAATAGTGGAGTACTTATAAATTTGACTGTACAACAAAAAGCTAAAATATTCATAGGATAGTATTATCTTGAATTACACATCTAGTACATGGAATCTGACAATTGGACACCATGAATGGATTCTCTGTGCTTTATTACAACTAAAAGATTGACATAACATCATTGGAAAGATAAATGTATGGCCTCATTTACTCAATTGATTCAAGACTCAATTACACGTGCTACCTATGAGAAGATTGCCGATAGACATAGACTTTGTATGGATAAATATAATGAAATATGACACTCATTTATGCAAAGTGCAATAGATTAAAAAAGCATGATTGTCATATAATAAACATATGTATAATATAAATATTAGATAATTATGCATAAAATTGTTATAACATATACTTTATATTTTATTTATTTACTTATTTTAAGCATTTGTTACATATTTTTAATAATGTGTTTATGTTTGTGCTTTGTTCCTTTTGTTCTTTTTTGTTATAATTTTAAATGCAATAAAAAATTTATAAAAAAATATGAAACTTGGTTGCTGAATAAATACACTTTCCCATAATAACCCATATGCTGCTGGGGGGAAAAAATACAATTCCTGAAGATTTTATGGTTTTAGTAATTTTATAGCTGAATACCATTTACATTCTCTTGTTTCAAGTTCAGGAAAGAGAAAACAATGAACTACAGTAGAGTTGATGGTGTGTCAAGAATTTATTTTAAAAGTTGCCCATCAATTTGCTGATGTGCTAAATATCTATGCAGGAATCTATTATATGAACACATAGTACTAGTATTATATTAGCACACTGCAAAGACTTAGGACAATGGGAGCAACTTGTAGGAACTACAGCATCCAAAAGAAAACATCACTTGGTAAAACTTTGGATCATGGCAACCACAGGGCCTCTAGAGACCAACATTTTATTTCCGAATGCAAGCATAAGTCATTGAAGAAGAGTCATTGCCAATAGCAAATCCATTTAACTAACTTGCACATATTTTCCTGGGCTTATGCAACTACTATTCAAGATCAGAAAAAGCCATAATTGCGTTGTAGGAGCAGCCAATAGATAGGGAACCTCCTCCCGCCTACTTTAGATCCAAACATGGCATCTGTCTGGTCCATGACACCGGATTGGTAGTCAGGAGAATGGTCTACTTCTCTTTGAAACTTACCCAAGCATGAGTTCAATGCAAGGAATAAGGTGTTCCCAGGAATAACATGTCAGCAGCTGAAGTTGGGTGGTCCACAAGGGAGACATCTCAAGATAGAGGCGGGAGGCACCCACACAAGCAGCAGCAACAAGAGAAGGTCGAAAAGAAAGAAAAACATGATCTGCAGGGGGGGAGGAGAAGGGGAAAGACAGGAAATAAGCATATAAAACTGTTTATAAATGAATTCTCTTTGCGACAAAATTGATTAATACTGAGGCGTCATGGCTGTTTGCAAGGAACATCGTGGAAAGCTACTGAAGCCTCTTGGTGTGCTAGATAATAACTCATGATATGAAAAATGCTGTTAAATAGGCATTTAATTTACTGCTTCCTTTAGACCTCTAACACTGCAATCCTGAGCATGCTTACTTAAAAACGAAACCAAATTCTGATGCTGCCCAAACAGCGATGCTCCTAGAATGCCCTGCAAAGCCAGGGCTGCTCCAGGAATGTGTGATATTTTGCACCTCCCCCCCCACACCCCACACCCCGGCTGAATGGAGGAAAGTTTAAAATGAGAAGGTCTGCCTGAGTTTCACCCTGAGTTCAAATGTAATGGTGCCATGATCAGACCACTGGAAATTTTAAAATTTGCTTCTATGGAGGGTGAGGAAAAGAGTTGACAGCTTCTCAAGTTTCCTTTTGCAATACTGGAAAATGCTGTAAGTACTAATAATGTGTTGAATTTATATGCTGCCCAATGCCTAGCAATTCTGCCCCCTCATTTCACAGGATGTTGACAATAAAGTGATGTGGGTAGCTGCACAAGAGAACAAATAGCTGACCTAAGAGAGTTGGGTCCTTTGAATACCACCAACAAAATTTATTGTCAAGCAAAACATACAGCAGAACACCCTGCCGATACTTTATAATAGAGAAATCACTATTTGATGCTTTATGTCCTTTAACAGCATAGGAAGAACTGAGAAAATGTGCTTTTAACTATCCTCAGTATTGCATTACCTTCTTAAGTTGAAATTCTCCAAAGTTGTGCTCGTAGAACTGAATCATGCGTAGAAGAATCATGCACTGAGTTTTTCTAAAATGGTTAGAGGCATAACACTGCCTCCTAGTGGCTTTTCCTTCCCATTCTCACACTCCTATTTAAATGTGCTTTAAATGTTTAGCCTCATCAGGGTTTTTCAAAGTCAATATTGACCCTGAAGGCTCAATGAGACTATCCAGAGGGTTGTGGTTATTACCATTCATAATACTATTAGTCAAAGTAGTATGTATTGAATTATTTTCATATAATACCTGTTTGGGATCAATGAACTGTCTGAAACTTTACAAAGGGGTTGATGAATTGAACAGCTTGGGGGGGGGGGCCCTTGTGGTAACATTATGCCTTCTTTTGGTCCTCAAGATGATTAGGAAGCTACACTGAGGCTTCCTACACCTCAATTACCTTGCAGTGAAGCTTCTAGGAACGAGTGAGAGTATTTCTCCATGATGGCTCTGAACTTGGTTACAGAGGTGATGGGCCAACCTTTGTGGAGGTCACTCTCACTGACAGAAGCAAAGAGGTAGTAGTCAATGTAGTGTGCTGGCGTTGGCAGACACAGATTCCAATTGAAGCTCTCCAGGAGCAACAGTTCCATCTTCAGTAGGTCTTTTTTCGTAAGCATTAGATTAAGGCTGCACATGTAAGCAAAGTTGTTCAGCAGTTGTAGTTTGGGCACTTTATCCTCTTTCTCTTCAAATTTGCCTAATGTAAGAAAAGATTAACTCAATGAGATTGATTTAAGGCCCACATCCATCTTATACCATCATACTACATGTTTAAATCATCTATAGATTCATTAGTCCTCATGCAGTGGTAGGATTCAGCCGGTTCGCACCACTTCGGCAGAACCGGTAGCTAATTTTTTTGTTGCCCAGGTCCAGAATGGACTTCCCGAAGCAGCATCCACACAGAGAACTGGTTGTTCACATATTTGAATCCCACCACTGTCTTCATGGATACAAGAGACCGAGGCTTTTTTTTCTGCTATGAAAACAAAACCACAGTTCCATTATGTCTGAATTTGTGGAATTATAAAACGGATTTGAGACCATGTTCTACCTTTTCTCATTAAAGAAATCCCAGTTTCAAATTCAAGTATCACAGGTAACTCTGAAGGATGAAAGGAAAGAAAGAGAAGAAACCAACATTTGGGGTGTGTGTATGTGTGTTTGCAGCATTTTTTTTTATGCTAGCTATGTAACCAATGTAAACGCTTAATGATGTAGCATTCTTACTTAGTTGTGCAGGAATTTGGAAATATTTACTCTAAAATATTGCAACAGTAATAATTACTGCATAAATTTAGCCTTTCTTTTTTTGAAACATTGAATTTAAAAATAAATATACTGTAAGGTTTGCCTCATAATTCCCAAACTTTGCATTCTATAAAAATCAAAGAAACCAAACATAAAAATGTAGGGTGGTGAGAGAGAAAATTTAACAATAAAGCATCTGTATCCATCCTCAAGAGGGCTATGGGAAAAAAAAGAGGATATAGTTAAACCTTCCAAGCCTCAAGAGTAATCCTGTTTAAAAGTAAGGAGATATGTGCATAAACTATTACTTGCTAAACTCCAATAACCCCTTAATTTTTCTTGTTCATCATGGAGTCAAAACCATATGCTGCTGTAGTTATCCCAAATTAAAAGTATGTTTGCTTACTTCAGACCTGGTTAACATTTTGTATGTGAAAAAAATCCACATTTTTGTGTAAAGATATGCTGAGTAGCTAAAAAGTTACTACCCAAAGAGAAATTTATTTAAGGTAACCAAGCATTTACCAAATTTCCATTCTATTCAATCAATTACAATAAAAACCAAGATAAGCTAATTTTTGACCAATTTATAATTCAGAACTGAAGCTGATGGCTAGCATAAAAATGCGGGATTTTTTAAAAAATATTGCTTTAGAACTACACCTTATCTATACCAATTAGTCTAGGACAGGGTGTCAAACTGCCAGCCCACGGGCCGGATGCGTCACACGGAAGCTGTGCCCAACCCAGTTCCAGCAAGGGGAAAAAAGTCTCGATACGTCGTGACACATCATGTGATGCGGCAAGTTTGACACCCCTGGTCTAGGACAACAGACTGAAATCTGTTTCCATCAAGAGGTTTTAAAAAGGCAGGATAATTTAATACTATACAGTACATAACCTCATATATACAATATTATATACACTATATAAACTAATACTATATAAATTACTCACACTTTGATGTATTAGCTCCAAATGCATTAAGCAATGCTTCTATTTCTTATTCTATTGATATCGAATAGCGTTTTTAGGATATGACTTCAACTCCCGGAATTTTCCAGTCATCATTCCTTATGGCTGGAGAATTTTGGGAACTGAAGTCCATACCTCTTAAAATTTATATTTATATACAATGCTGTAAACTTTATCAGGTATGATACAGATCTTCCAGTTGTGCCTTTCTGTTGTAGACTCCCCCAAAAGCACTACATCCAGGTTTCAGAATTAGCTGAGGAGCTAATAATACAGATGAAATATCCCATTTTCCATCCCATATTCAGAACAGCGGGCAAAAGCTGAAGTCTTTTGTCTGAATGTCCATACTACACCAAAGCTTGTGCATTCCTGACAAGCCAGAATTCTGGTTTCTCAAGAAATGAGTGTCTCACCAGTGGATTACTGATATTGTACAAGCATGAATATAAAAAACTCTGATATTAATTAAAATTATAAAAGTGCTTTCCTTCTTTCTTGTTTAAGTTTCATGCATTTTTCTAGCTTGTGGAGTCAAAAATCAACATGTAAAAAATGTTCTGTGGGAGCAGAGTACAAAGGGCAGACAATAGATACTAGAAGACACATTGATCCCTTCGCCTGCCTTTGTTGTTTTTATTAGCTGTTGCTTATCTCCTCCCTTTCAGATTGGTCTTTTGGAATCTAACTGCACCAATAACCATAGGCGACACCCTCCTTAAAAAGCCTGCTCAAAATGGTTTTGCGTGCATTTAATTTTGTTTAGTACCATACCATGACAACTTTCCAAGCAGGAATTAACAACCTGAAAAAGTCTGTTACAACCTTGAAATACATCTGTTTAGACAATCTGTTAAACTGTCTGCCCTATCTCTAAAGACTTATAAGGATGTGTTACAGAGTTAGACAAGCCATGGAGAAGCAGGTGGTGGCTGACCTACAATTCCCAGCAGCACCAGATAGAATGGTTAATGGTTAAAGGGTCTGGGAGATGCTCCGCCATAAATACAAGGCTAGCTTAGCTTCTACTTTTGGTCTTCCAATATCATAGCAATGTACTGAGTAAAAACAATGTTCATGTCATTATTATGAGGGGCTGCCACCATGAAGAGGGGGCCAGGTTGTTCACCAAAGCACCAGAGGGAAGGATGAGAAACAATGGTTGGAGACTAACCACAGAGAGAAGCAACCTGGAATTGAGGAGAAACTTCCTAACAGTGAGGACAATTAACCGGTGGAACAGCTTGCCTTCAGAAATCGTGGGTGCTCCATCACTGGAGGTTTTTAAGAAGAGACTAGACAGTCACTTGCCTGAGATGGTATAGATCCTCCTTCTTGAGCAGGGGGCTGGACTAGAAGACCTCCAAGGTCCCTTCCAGCTCTATTCTATTCTATAATATCTAAAGGCCACCACACCGAATACACAACATTCTTTAGCATAGTTCTGGTTGTGCTGTACCGGCAATCCTTGACTTACCACAACTGAGCCCAAAATTTCTATTGCTAAGCAAGACAGCTGAGTTTTGCCCCATTTCACCTCTCTTGCAACGGTTGTTAAGTGAATCACCAGTTGTCAGTAACACGGTTGTTAAATGAATCTGGTTCCCCATTGACTTTGTTTGTTAAAAGATTGCAAAAGGGGATCACATGACCCCAGGACACTGCAACCATCATAAATACCTGCCAGTTGCCAAGCTTTGATCATACGATTGTGGGAATTTGCAACGGTCGTAAGTATGAAAAATGGACACTTTTTCAGTGCTGTTGTAACTTTGAACAGTCACTAAACGTATGGTTGTAAGTCAAGCACGACCTGTAATTTGAACATTTCTGTGCAACAAGAAGTTGAAGACATCACTAAGAAATGCAAGCTCAAAGATTACTGAAATACGGTCTTTAAAAGAACCATCTCTTGATGCATTATACTGCACACATTACATTGGCTTTCTCTTGTGTGTTTACTAGGCAAAAAGCCCTCCCCACCCAAATCGTATTACGTGATTTCTGTATCATTAGGAAAAGTGACTTACTTGCAAGGAGAAGACACGCAATTGAAACGACATATAACTGCTTCACAGTAACATCATAGCGATCCATAAAAAGGTCCAGCAAGTAGACAGCAAGGTGCCGAGCTGTGGGACAAAGTTGGCAATGGCTGCTGAGGACAGTAAGGAGGTGAGCAAAGTAGCACCGTCTTTCGATTTGTGGAGAATGGGCCTTGTAGACTGGCAGTTTCAGTTCCTATAGCAACACAAACCGAAGGAGGAAGAAAAGGGGTATTCAAGCGAATATCCATTTCAGTAAAGAGAATATCCAGATCAGCACTGTACCGCTTATTCTGGCAAGCAGATAACAACCCCAGGAATACAAAATGGTCCCATCAAACCATCCTGTCCGGATAATTAGATACTGAAAAGCAATTAAATTTATACAAATTGTTTGTACTCTACGAAATAAACTTGTGTATGTAGAGAGAGATCTTAAAAAAAAACAACCAGCCGTTATGCTGTACAGTACGCTAAATACTTAATCACACTTCTGGCAAAGCAGCATTATTTACAAAATCTTACGTTAACAGTGGCGTTTGATAATCCTGACCTATGAAAACCAGGCTCTGGACTAGTGTTTTTTTCAACTGAGGTCATGACAGACAAATCAAATAAACATTGTTTTTTTGAGTGTAGCTCATAAAAGTGGGAATTTTCAAATACCTAATACAACTTGGTGGCTTGCCTGCTACTTTGCTATTGTTGTAAAGGTCATAAAAGTGATAGAAATTAATTGTATTTTTATATTTTTATGCAGGTGTCCCTTAAGACCTGAAAACTATTTCACGGGTTCCTCCAAGATTTTTTTTTTTTAAAAAGAAAGCTGAGGAAGACTGCTACCGACTAAGGAGATCTTCCTGACCTTGTTACTACAAAATCTTCACAAAAGAATACTCTTCTGTATATTTGAAGATTGGGGGTGAAGGGAAGGCAAAGGTGATGCAGAATTTACTTAAAACAAGCAACATCCTAGGTAGTGCTTTTTATTCTGGTTAGTTAAATGATGCATAATAATTTATCTAACCAACTGAATATAAGAATAAAAAGCACTACCTAGGATGTTGCTTGTTTTAAGTGAATTCCGCATCACCTATGTAGAATTCAAGCTGAAGCAAAGTCAAAATAGAAAGCAGCTTTGTGTTATCAATACTCTTGGCAATGCAACGTCTACTTTTAAATTGAGGTCCATTTGCTTCAATAATTCAATGTCTAAGAGCAAAAGAATGAATGAAATAAATGCAATTAACTTGTCTACACTTTTCAAGCAGGAGCAAAAGCCTGGAAGGTGTCTGTGAAGGTATGTGGTTTAATCTCCCTGTGAAGACAAGCTTGATGAAATTTTTTTCCAACCTTTCCAATTAACAGGAGAGGGAAATCATCCAAATCACAAATAAATCTGTTTCTAGAACCAGTGCATGCTGTGATGGCCACTGTTTATGCTGGAAGAACTAGCTGCGCTCAAGCAGCTAATTTTGCCAAGGAACAATGCAGCCCAAAGCCATGCCATTAGCATTCTGATCAGAGAAGACACCTGGATGAAGCTTCAGTGTCTCTTTCCAACTTTCATTCTAGGTTTGTGGGAGGCAGGGACAACATAACAAGAGCATAGGACTCCTGATAGCTCTTCAGCAGCACTGCCATCAAAATGGAACAAAACAATTTGCCTTTGAGAAATTCTATATATTAGTTCAGTTTTGCATAAAATGTTATTGATACTAACTCCTGAAATCTAAAATCCAGGTCCAGATATGTTCTGTTCACTTTTTTTTTAATGGGCTAAAATGGTGAAGTTGCCCTGTTTGTAATGATTTGATAAAACCTCTTAAAGAAAAGGATCACAAGTAAATATTTATACCACGATAAAGATCTGATTTCCCCAGGTAAATATAGTCAGTTATCTACTGGGATGTACCAGATGCATTCTAAACAGGACAATTAGATGTTCCCATAAGTCTGTTCAAGAAGCAAAACCGAATCAACACAGTCTTTTCAGAGACAGAGTATTTTGCAGTTTCTGACTTGACTGGAAAATAAAACTGGATACAAATCCATAGAAAACTACATCATCACCATATTTAGCAGGCAGGCAGGTATTCTATAATGCCTGCTCCATATTTCAAAAGCCACTTTTATATGTCACCAAGGGAGCAGAACTTAAGAATGACAATGAAGGTCATTGCTTTGATCTTTTGAAATGCCAGCCATAAGGATGTGATACACAGTGCTACCAGACATAGAGAAGACACTTCAATTTATTTATCTTTTAAAAAAATAGCACTAACACAAGAATACTAGTACAATTTAATTACTGATTGGTTTAGCATACATCACAAAGAATCACAGAATCATAAAGTTGGAAACAACCTTGGCGATTATCTAATCAACTCCAGTGTTCAGTGCAGGATCCACTGGAGCACCTGTGACAGATGATCATGCAGCCTGTCTGAAGACCTCAAGGGAAAGAGAACTCACAACTTTATTTGGCAGCCTGTTCCACTGAGAGCTTGTACAGTTCAAAGTTTCTCCTAATATCTAGCCTGAACCTGCTTTCCCTAATTTTAATAAACTACATTGCAGTTTTAATCCTGACTTTTCCCAACAACAGAGGATACATCTACTCATTCAACTAAATGACAGCTTTTGGATCTCTGTTATTTCTTCTCTAACATTACTCATTGGGTATCACCTTTTACCTTTTGCTCCATTTTGTCCCTGATGTTTTTAAGTTGCAGGGTGCAGGACACACTACTCCATATGAACTCTGATCAGGCACCATAAACTTGGAAAAATCACTTCTCACAATATGCTTTCTAGGCTCCAGTTAATGTACCCTACAATACCACTTTTATTTGCAGCACATTATTAGTTCATGTTTAATTACTTTCCACAGGTATTACTGCCAAGTCAGATCTCCATCATCCTATACATGTGTCTTTTTCCTACCCAGTTTAGATTATTTCTCCCTGTTAAATTCCATTGGTTTCATTTTTGCACATAGTTCAAGCTTGTCTGGTGTTTTTGGAATTTCCTCTCATTCAACTAAGATATCAGCCACACCTCGCAGTTTTGTCCCAGCTGCAAATTTTATAAATGTCCATCAATTCCCCATCCAAATCATTGATAAAAATGCTATTATGACATAGACACCAGCACAGAGCCAAGGGCACTCCCTTGGATATTTTCTTCTAAGGCGAAGAACAACTATTAATGACTATTTTGGATGCTGTCACTTCACATCCAAATCAAGATGTATTGATTTAAGAGGCTTATATGGTCACAATAGTGATAGGAATATACATAAAAACAATAAAAACAAACACCTTCCCAAATAACTCCCAGAGTCTCAAAACAATACTCCCCCATATGCTAACATTCATAAATATTGAGCTCCAGCCTCAGCTTATATTAATGACAGGGTATACCCTTAAGGCTTAAGGTCTTCTGGAAAGCCTACTGTAGGAGGCAGCACTGGGAGCCTACTGTAGGCAGACTGGGAGCCTACTGTAGGAGGCAGCACTGGGCGTAGTGTGAAAAGAGGGATCAGCCTAAAATCCCTATGTGTAGCTACAAGCAAACTAGGTCCAATTCTCCTTGAGTGCTGTTGACTTTTATCTAACTCTAACCAGATGCTGACCTTTAGTTGAGAAAATTCCTGTGCATAGGCTTTTAGCCATAATTCAGCTTAATTGAACCTTCAGTGTAGACCTGGTCCTTCACTGCCAGATCAGGGTACCTCTAATTTTTAATCCTATATTAGAGAGAGTAGGCATTATATAAATCAAAAACTGTTCTTGATTGCTGAAACTACATTAGCTGGAAGGTGTATGGTTAATATCCGACAATAAGACACCATGTGTATAGTTAAACACTGAAAGGAAAATGTTTCATTAGATATAAAAATTAGAAGGGAAAAAAACAGCATTGAAACCGTCAGACCTGCAATATGTTTGAATCTATGCAAACAGGTAACACCTATAACCAGCCTATAGAAATGTCTATCCAGCAGGCTGCTTCTGCCTAGGTAATATTAATCTTTCCAATTAGATCAGATCTCCCCACTCACTAGACATAACTGGGAAGAGCCATCACAACACTAATCCTTTCAAACTCTTATCAGTGTTAACTGTCTTTCAGGCTTTGTGAAAAAACAGTTTTATCTTTCACCAATCAGGCACTGAAAAAGAACATTTGGGGAGGTGGTGGAGTAAGAAATCTGTTTCTTCTAGAACCTAGCACTCTCCAGGGGTATCAGATTTCCAACTCCACAGAGCAGAGGTACACAACCAGTTTTATACTGCAACTTCTACTCGGCTTTGATATGATGTACCAGACCCTGCATTTTGAATGCTGGAGCCAGTTTAAAAAAAAATGGTCTCAGTTTAAATTAAAATAAGAATAAAAATACAGTTCATTATTCTATGAATAATATTCTTCTGTCTCATGAGAAATTACAATTTGGTGTCAGCCTCTCTGGAGGAAACAAAGCTCTGGGGCCATTCTATAGTTTGTATATCTCTTATCCTAGGAAATTATGAAAACTGGAGAGCTCTGACACCCTCACAACCACAAGTATCTGAAGCATATCCAAAAGGGTGTGGGACATAAAAATAATGCAAATGGGTCTTTGCAGCAGTATTAGTGTAGTGGAATTCTTTATTATCTTCAGAGACGGAGCTATAGTAAATAATAGAATTTCAGTCTCAGATCTACCAAAGTTCACCAACTCATGATATTTTTCTGCATGCACATGGAAAGAATTAGGAAAACGCTCCTATTGCAAGATCCTCATCATTAGCTGTTAATTTATTGTGGTTTATAGCCAATAAGGAAAAAAGAAATTTCAAGAACGAAATGGTCCTTTGAAAATAATCTGGTAGGAGTAGGGAAGAAAATTAAATAGCCTGCTCAAAGAGACAGACAACATTAGCATATACCAAAGTAAATATTTAGAGAAATAAGACCTCCTAGGAGATTCTAAGCTTTGACTGTTTCTAATTGCAAGTCACATTCATTATGTTACTGAATTATGAAAGAAATAACATAGAGATATGTTCTTTCATCTGTTCAAAGCAGATGAAATTCATGTTTACTTTTTTTTGCATTTTTCTCTTTGAAAAAGCTAGCATATGCATTACTGGCAACACAATGAACAATGGAATATCCAAACCAAAAGAAGCTGAAAAATGTGCAACCTATGGCCATGTGTGCTTTCAAAAGCACACCTGTCATACAGTTTGCTCATCTTAATTGTAAAACATAAACCAGTTTCTCTTTTTCAGACAGTGTGCTGAAATACACAGCTAGATTTAAAAAAAAAGCCAAAATGTCCTTTTCTCATGAAATATTGGCAATAAATATAGTAGGCTATTTGACATAATTCTGAATATTCCTGAAATACAAATCTCCATAGCAAAGGCATAATAGTGCAGAAAATAGTTAAAACCATTAGATAATTATTCAGAGGTAAAAGGCGTATCTGCTATGCAAATCAGGGACTATGCTCAGGAAACTGAAAACCAGCTAATGTTACAACTTAATACCAAATATACACCCTAAGAAACTCTAACCAAATCCCATAAAGTTTGAGTCTAAAAATGAGCTTTAGATTGTAACATTCCTTTAGTGTTTTAAACCAGAGGTCCCCAACCTTTTGAGCACCAGGGACCGGTTCCACAGAAAGAGGGTTCCACAGAGAGAGGTTTTTCTGTGGATTGGAGGGGGCGTGGTTTCATGTACTGCCTGCATCCCATGGATGGGGCTTTGCTTGTTTGTGCGGACCGGTTTCTGGCATGCCCCGGCCTGGTGCCGGTCCATGGACCAGGGGTTGGGGACCCCTGTTTTACACCCTCAGTTTTAATACAACAGGGAGATATATATATTAATATTCATTCACTATTTGATTTCATTAAACATTTCCACAAAGAGCTGAAAAAGGATAACCAACATTTTTAGCCCATAGGAAGATATGTTTGCATCTTAGAGTTAAAAAAAAAAGTATTTCCATCTCAGAGAGTATATTGCAAAATAAAACTGTCTGAATTATTAAATAAGTATCTGTTCACGTACTTAAGATACACTTTGCTTTTAGAAGGGAAGAAAAAAAATCTAGTTGGGGCTACCAGATCTGGATTACATAATCTGGACATGCAGCATGGAAGTAAAGAAAAATATAATGGCATTTAGGGGTCATCCAAACTTTTGCAGACCAGATGTGGCAACTTTATTTTTAGTAAAGTTATTCCTTGCTTACCAAGTTCCTTGTTTAGTAACTGTTCTAAATTACAATGGTGTAAAAAAAACCAAACCCAGATCTGTGACCAACCCTCACATTTACAACTGCCATAGAGACTGCCATTCAGGCACTTTGCACCTGGTGTGCATTTGCAATAGTTGTACCATCCTATGGTCACATGACCACCATTTGCATTCTTCATAATTAGCTCCTGAAAAGTAGAGTTAATGGAGAACACAGGTAAATTCACAAGTCATTCTCACTTGATGTTTCACTTAATGACAAGTGTGCATCACTTAATGACAATGAGAAGTGATAGGAGGCCTGTCACAGTCACACAATTTTCTGCTTAGCAACCAAGTTGTTGATTCCAATTATGGCCATTAAGAGAGGACTAAATTATCATTTTCCCATGGAAAGCAATTATTTCCACATTTACTCAGACGAAAATGTAAATGTACTTAAAGAAGAGCCTTCATCCACATATCCCATAGTTGAGGAACATAAGATGGGTGGCCTTGCTAGATAAATAAAACCCCAGATGCACACTTATCACACTATTTGGAATAACTACTGTATACTAGCAACTTCAAGGTGCAAGGATGTCATAGTAATGGCAGCTATATAACTGCTGTGGAGTTTTGCCAAAGGAAGAAACAGAGTTTTGTAGAGCCACATTTACTGCAATGATCATTGGGTGCCTGCTTTAGAAGAAAGAAGAACGGTGAACAATTGATTTCCAAAGATTTTTATGGAAATTGAGGGATACAAGACAGGAAACCTTGGGGGTCTGGTTGGCCCTGTTTGGGGAAGTTGTGCAAGTCTCTGCACTGTCCTTGGAGTTAGTTCTATTGTTAGGCAAATAGACTTTCAGGAGGCAGGGAGGAGGGTCAATTTGGGTATGAGGGGATTAGGCAAGAGAGAAGAACTGGGTTTGACCTTGGACATATCCAAAAGTGGGAGGGGGGAAGGAGGAGGAGAGCAGTCTCCATTTTATCAGGTTTATTTTTTTCCCATTACATAACTTGCTTTACATCTTACTTTTGCCACCAAATTTGTAGTTCAGCTATATCCATAGCAGATCCAGCCAGCAGGATTGCAGCTGAGGAATGTGTAGATGTAAGGAAGGTGTCCTTGACAGAAATATGCAAGGCCTGATACCAGTGTGATGTGGAGAAGGGGAAGATAACGTAAATCCACAACAGACAAATGGACTTGCAAAGTTTTATTATTATTATTATAACCAATCACCTTCTCTTTCCCTGCTCCCCCCAGCCTCTTCCTTGCCTCTTGCAATTCTGTTAAGGTCATCTACCTTACTACATTAAGTACATCTGTTTAAGAACAATTTATTTTCTATTTGTTCCAATGTAAAGTAGATGACATGCATGCTCGACTCAGTAAATTCAAATCTGAAAACTTAAGTTTAATTTCAGTCATTTTTAAAAAATACTAGTTGCATGCATTTTATTTGGAAGTTACTTTGGAAGGGCAACTAAACAGCAGATTGTACCTGTTTTGAATTGTAGTAACAGCAACAGTAAAGGATAGAGGAAAAAAGGGAAGCAGCTGTCTATCTAACCTTCAGTCTCAGAGTCTGGTGAACGTCTGCTGCAAGGTCTCCTTTCCACCATGGCTCTTCCATCCTTAGACTTCTCATCCAAGGAAAAGCACCTGCAAGGTCAGGCAGAAATCAAAGTAAATTAACAAAGGAAATATGGGCACATTTAAGCTTCATCCACTGTTTTTACACAATCCCACATACTCCTTCCTAAAAAGGAGCCGAAAAACATATTGCAATGTAAAATTAGGGATTATCTAGGTGCAGCTTAACCAAATACACTTGATGGCTGCAAATTTAGCTAATTCCTCCCTCCCCCCCCAAAATAATTCAGCCCATTAAACTTCTCTACACCTGGATGCCCATTTCAGATTTGAATCTGTGCAAAAGGGCTCAAGCAATCTTGGCCGACATCAAGTCATCTTCTCAGCAAGTTACCTGTCGCTCTGTTTTTGCTCAAAACAAGAGCGAAGAGATTTTGATTGGAATACAAGCCATTATCGATTTCCGACTCACGCCCACCTTCCCTGTGGTGGGAAATGGCACCGACTTCCCGGCTTTTTTTTTTTTGCAACAAAACCCGAGATCCTCCGATACCCGACTACAAACGGCGAATTTCAGATCTAACTCGCTTTTTCCACATCTGATTCGAGATTGCCGAGAATCAAGACAGCATTTTCCCGGGTTGCTCTCCCTCCCTCTCTTTTGAAGTACAAGTGGTATGAAACTTCTCAAAACTCCGCGGACTGAAACTTCTGACAAGCTGCCCACACAAAACCCGTGCTAGCGTTACCTTTGCCGATCGCCCGCAAAGCGACAGCCTTTGTCCTTTCCTGAATCCGACGACTTCTTTGCAAGAAAAACCCTGCACCCCGAGAAAGAGAAGGGAGAATTCTCAAGCTTGCACCCTTGTCCGCCCCCTTTGCTAATCACAACAGGGAAGGTCAGCAGTGGGTTGCATGTCCCCGGGTTGCAAGGCGGAGGGAAAGA